AAAAAAAAAAAGGATAGTACAGAGACAAAGTCCTTTAACGAGTTTTCAATCTAAAAGATAAGCTTTCCTTTCACACAAAGATACGTGTTTCAAATTTACTGACTTCTTCCATGGTGTCCTATAGCAGTCAGTGAACCTTTAAAACAATTATAAGCACTCTCAATCTAGCTACTCAAGGTTAAATTGATATTTTAACAATGAGTGAGAAAGTAAGTGCTTTGGGAGGAAACTCAGGACATGGAGAGAACATTTGGAAAACAACTACATGTGTTTTCACTGTTATGTCATTTTATTGCCAAAAATGATGTGAGTTGCATACCTAGAAAACCTCTCATATCTGCACACTTAAAAACCTAGGACTGACGTTTTCTGCCCTGGCTTAAAATCTTCCAAATGTACAGTTTTTGTGGGTTTTGAAGACATTTGTTAAAAACACAAAAGTGCAACGGGCGCTGATTGGTTGGTAAGAACAAACGATCGACATCAGGAAACATGTCCGTTTACCAGGTGAATTTCATCGAAAACCATTGAGTAATCGGTGGGTGGAATTGAAAAATGGAATCATGACGTAGTGAGCCAGCCAGTGGAGTTGTCTTCTGTTGAGGGCTGTGTGTCTTTTTGAGACATCATTCTCATCTATGACAGCCCCTGAAACCAAGTGCTGAAATAAACCAAGCTCAGAACCACATCTTTGCAGAGGCTCGTGGCCGGCTCAGCCAGAAGAGCATGTGACTCTTGCTCTCAGGGTCATGCGTTCAAACCCCATGTTGGGTGTGGAGATTACTTAAAAAAATAATAAAGGGGTGCCTGTGTGTCTCAGTTGGTTAAGTGTTGGACTCTTGATCTCAGCTCAGGTCTTGATCTCAGGTCTTGATCTTAGGGTCGGGAGTTCAAGCCCCACATTGGGCTTCACCTTAGGCATGGAGCCTGCTTTACAAAAATAATAATGAAATAAAAATAAAAATAAATCTTAGGGGCGCCTGGGTGGCTCAGTCAGTTGAGCTCCCGACTTTGGCTCAGGTCATGATGTCATGGTCTGTGAGTTCGAGCCCTGCATCGGGGTCTGTGCTGACAGCTCAGA